AAATTTGCAAGATGTAGTCGAAAAAATTAGAGTTTCTGCTGAAAAAGCAACCAAAACACACTGCACATGTTCGCAAAGACTGGAACAAAAGCAGAAATTTGCTAATTTGAAATGACCTCCACAATCCGAGGACATGAATCTCATCGAGAATTTGCGAAATCAACTAAAAGCGCATCTTACTAAGTATCCAAATCCGTCCTATGGAGTACGTGAGCTGTGAAAGCAAACCAAGGATATATGGGAGGCTATACCTCCAGAATTTTTACAGACATGCACATTAGGTATGCCAAATTGCAACCAGAAACTAAATAAAGCAAAACCATAACGAACATTGTGTTAATAATTCTTTTTTTTTGTGAAAATTGTCAAAAAGTTATTAAAAATACATGAGTGCAAAACTGTAACATATGCCTTAATTTACATTTTTGTCTGCTGGTTTCTTTAATGTTGTTGAATTGACTTCAAATCCTTATGACAGAGGAAGCAAAGATGTACCAATAAAAATACAGAACAACAGTATGAATGTCGTCAGGACTTGGAAAGATAGCGACAGCTGAAAGAAAAGGTGTTACTCCATGCTACAGTTTTGCTCGTCACTGTACATATTTACATTATTCTATCTACGCTAAATAAAAAATAATAATAATAAAACTGGTTGTTGGCCGGCCTTATAGTACATAAGTATTATACATAAATACAAATAGTGGTATTCACCAAATTAAGCAAGTGGCCTGGCATTCTGGCAAAAGAGCAGATGAGCTCAAGCAATGACTGCGCTGACAACTGTCGTTGCTTGAGCTGATCTGATTTAGTTGGAAGATAACAATTATAAAAATTATAATTTTTTTTAAATTTGATTATTTAATATACATATGTGTATAAATAAAATATAATATCCAATAAATGAGAAATCGCATGTCTAGATGCACATGCAAGTGTGTTAAGGTCATTTTCGTGCTAGTCAAAACAACCGCCAATCTGGCCAATCTGGTTCCGAAGTCAACACGTGATGTCTGATGGTTCATGAAACTTTTTGAGCTCGAAATTGTGGAGCAACCTTCAAAGAGATTCGAGTTTATATACAACAGGAGAAAGTCAGAAATCAATAGAAGACGAGTTTCTTGCATACAGCCCATTTGAGCTTTTCAATAAAAAAAAAAAAACATACTACGTAAATTCTTGGTATTTTTTTAAAAACACTGAATAAGGTTGTAGTGATAACGTTGGAAATTCGTTTAAATATTAGAAAAAAAGTTTAGGGTTAGAGTCGGCCCCACATTTAGTAGCGTCCCCGGATGATAATACAAGTGTATATTGTTAAATGAAAACCAAAACTAACTAATAAAAGAATACCTACATATAAAGTAATAGGTGTCTATAGTTAATTTTTTTTTTTTGAAACCAGATAAAGTTGGCTATTGTAGAAGACGACTACCAAATTCCTCACGGGCTATACTTGTATATACATACATATCGAGCCCTAACCGCCAAAATAACGTAAGTGACAGTTATTTCTCAAAATTTTCTTTTTGATACAGAAATCCATCTACATACTATACGAATATTTCTGCATCTAAAAGGAAATTTTGAAAAAATCTCGCTTAAGTTATCTTTGCGGTTATGGCTCGATATTTAAAAAATTACTCATATACAGTCTTATTTATAATATACTTAAATGCGAAAATGTCGGCTGAAAATCGAAAAAGTTACAGTTTTTGAAATCCGCACATGCTACGATTTCAAACTTTGCATATTCTGACTGGTAACGTCCCCCAAATTAATCTAATTGGAAATTCCATCGTTCCAGACCGACTCGGTTGGATTTCGTTCAAGGACACCGTGGCTCTTTTGCCAGACTGCCAGGCCACTTGCTCACTTTTGTGAATACCATATGTACATATGTATGATTTGGCGCTCAAAACTGAGTGAATGCTGATTTGTTTTACATAAATATTTATACGATTTTTCGACTTACATTTTTTTTGTTATGTTATATAAAACTATTCTTCATGCTACAAAAGTATTGGCACACAGAGAATTTTTCGCAATGCATGCAAAGTTTTTTATTTTAATTTATTTTCGCTAATTTTTTATGAAAATGTAGTACAACAAAAAACATAAAAATAAAATCTCTAAACTTTGTGCAAAACTCGGAAAAATTAAATAAATTTGCGTACTAAATTCCCAATTTCAAATCAAATTTTCTAGAAAAATTCTGCGTATGCAATTTTATAGCCCATTCCATTTTTGTATAACAAAGTGCAAGTTTGAGTTTATGTAAGTCTTTTTAAACTTCTTTGTTTTGATAGCCATATTGTTATATTTAATTTATCTTACCAATGTACCTAAACTGCAATTTTCAAACAGATGGAAACTCTCGTATTTTTTGTTTTCTTCTATATTTTAAGTTAGAGCTCAAGCAATACATTGGTGAAAACTGCATTCGATTATATGAATTAGTTTTCGAGTGATGCGCGTACAAACATACAGATAGACAGACGAGAATCTAAAAAAAAAAATGTTTATTTGGCTTCTCTTGCTCTAATACCGTTAGTAACAAAATTTAAAAAAATCAACGCCAGTTTTGAAACTTTGCACTTATATGTAAAAACACCGCAAAAGTGGTATCAAAAAAAAAATTCTCAAAAATCAACGTGATGGTTTAGCCGGTTGAATCTTGCACTTCATTATACTAAAATTGCATCGGCTACATTTTGATGTAAATATTTTGAATTTTTGTGAACTTTATATAAAGTATGGAACTTTGATTTATATGCGCAGTGGCCATAAAATTAAAAATATTTCCCTTCAGAAATCTTCAAAAATTTTATTATTAAAATACACCTATGAACGTAAAAAAAATTTTAATTAGTCAAAACTACTCAAAATGCCGTGTTTCTATTATATTGCCGATAGGTGTGGATATACATACATACATATTTCATTTCATTATATTTCTTTATTAAGTCTATGTTTACAAACCTTACAGACTAGAGGTACAACATCAACTTAAAGATAAAGCTTACAAACTAAACTACATCATTAGAGATAATTGATTAATGTACATATAACTAGAGCGGCAAAAAGCAAAAAAAAATAGCGATCCCACTGTGACTGGTTCTACGATACAAGATCGACCTATGAAAACCTGGCCAACGACCTTCACTTCAGCAAACATCAAATGTTGTTACAACAACGAACCTACAAAGTCACGTTTTAATTTGTTGTTGTGTATATGTAACGATATATGTAAACCCGGTTCTTGACGAAAAATAATGTGACTATTTAAGTGAAGCGGAGTATAGAGACTAGTATATCATCTTATGCAGAGAGATACGTCCAAAATATTTTAAATGTTTTAATATGAAACTGTTGATAAGGACTGCCCGGCTGCCCGACTGTAAATCACATGGTTCAATTTTTTAAATATTTTTGAATATGTGAAATGAAGGTAATACATACATACATAAATATGTATATCAAATGGAAACTGCGTCGCTTTTGTTAAGGGAGTGATACTGGAGTGCCAAATTTTTGTTTATTTGTTAAGAAATCTCCTAAAATAGGTTTAGATCATATGATTTGCTGACCAAAAATTAATAAAGTTACGAAACTATTATTAAACTATGCTACGATATGGCATCTTAGACAAAGCTAACAACGGAAAAATTCCAGAAAACCTGGCCTTTGAATGTGTGCAGCTATGTAAATAGGAAACTTAAAATTCTTTTGGATGAACGCATTAGAAACAAAGACCTAAGAAATATCTCGTTAAATGGCAAACCTGCCTTCAAAAGCTAAAAGCTGCTTGCCGACTTAACAAAATAACAAAGACAAAATTCAAATGCTGCATACATACATACGTTCCACCAAAAGTTTGTAGGTGCTGACATGAGAATGACAACTAGCACAATTGAACAGCTATTCCAGCAATTCAACATCACTTGACAACGCCTTCTCACACCCGAAACCCTCAACGCGTGCGCGAGTGCAATTCACTTTTTTATTTGTTGTCGGCATGTTTTGCCAAGGTCAAAACTATAAATAAATATAATTTACGTGAACTCGTCCAACTCGACTCGCTACTACTAACAGCTGTGTGAGGAAAACAACAACGATAATAAAAATTATAAACAATAGTCAAGACATTTGTAAAAAATTTGTTAAGGTCACACCCGGGCAATCAATAGGGATGAGTACTGTGAATTTAATGGAGTAAAACACATCCGACGTAAACAATAATTAACGATGCTAAATTGGTAGAACTCCACAACTTTTCGAAAATTTTATTCAATGTCAGCAAGGATATTAATAAATTCATGTGTACATATGTATTTACACATCGGGTCTAAATGTAAATTCAAATTTGATGCATCTAAAATAATTTTTAGCCTTGTATTAAGTTAACTTTTTATTAAGAAGAAAGTTTTAGGAACTATCATATTGTCATCATTAACAAGCACCGTATTCA